GAAGGTTTTTTTTTAGTTGTATTGGAATGGATATCTCTAAAAAGGACACTAAGTAATTCCAAAGGATCAATAGCAACTAAAAATATATATATAAAAAAGACGAAGAGACATTCAGTGTTTGGGTCATGATAGGAAAGACTAAAAGACCACTTGTTCAAACAAGGTTCATGGTCATCTCATCACGATGAGGCATTTTACTTAGAACAAAGGGGGAAAGCAAGCATGTCTGATCATTGGCGTTGCTATCCCTCTGACATCTCTCATTTTCTTAAACACACCATGAAAACGCAAAAGCTACACCACAATATTTGAACCAGTTATAGTATGCCGCCAAACATGTTAAAAATAAACTCATCAATCAGTTTCTAAGCTATGATAGATGCACACGCCAAACGTGCCCAGAAGCGTTCATAGCAAAAAATATATATATACTTGCATGAAATCAACACCTTCAGCAAAAAAAAAAGCTAAGGCTTTTCCTTCACGGTCTTCTTAATTCTATCTGTGAACGACCTCTTATCATTCAATCCTGTGTTTTTTCTTTCCTTTTTTAATCTTTTTTTTTTGGATACTTGTGCTCTTTTTCAGCTCGTTGTTTCAGTGGCCGGGATGGACGAGGTCGATCCTGCGCCCGTCTTTATCGTTTTTCCTTCACTTTTCGACGTCCCCTCGACCTCTACTTCCACTTCGGATTCCTCTTTAGCCAGATGACTCACATCCTCTAGAATTTCCTTTGTGGTCTCCCCATCACTCACGTTGGCCCCGCGCGAGACGTAGACTGTCGAACTAATCATTGACCCCGTCATCGACTCCGAAATGTCGTTGAACGCGCCCGAGCGGCTTTCCGGGACAAACCAACTCGTCTCCGCCCCTTTTGCCATAATTTTATTCAACGCATTCTCAAAGGTGCCTTCCTTTTGCAGTTGGACGTATTTGCGATACAAGCGAAGGGAGGCCCGGGCGTCCTCGATGGAGTCGTGCTCCCCCTCCTGGACGCGCTCGCCGAGGATGTGGAACATCAAAAACCGAAGGGATAAAAACCGCCCGCCCTTGACGTGAAAAAGCTCCAAGGTGTCAATGATTTGCTTCTTCGGGATGGCGATATTGCACACACGGAAGTCCTGACTGAGGCCGTGGCCGACAAAAACCACCCCGGCGTCAGCCAGGGCTCGGAGTTTCAGACAGGTCGACTTAAACGACGTCAGGTTTTTGGTCGATTGCAGTGGATCCAAATCGCCAGGGTGGATCCCGCTAAACTGCGTGACGTAGTCGTCGATCTCCTCCAAGATGTGGACGTAGTCGTCGACGATCGTGCGCTCGTCGCCGTCCTCGCGGCTGAGGACGCAGCTCACGCGCGCGAGGCCCATCCGCGGCTTCCGGTGCGCGGAGTAGACGAAATCGGCCTCCTCGTCCTTGTGAGGCCACTTCAACACGACGTACTCCGCGTCGATCGCGACGAGGTCGCCGGGCTGGATGTCGGTGTGCGAGGAAAGCGGGGACTTGAACTGCTGCCGGGCCGGATTCCGCTGAAGGCCCTTCGCCAGGACGTCCTCCACCAACAACGGGCCGAGAATGGGCCACATATTCGGCGGGAGGTTGTTGTCCTGGTGGGCGTACGGGGGGGCCGTGAGCTGGTCCAGCGCGTAGTAAATCACCACTGCGGAGTAGGACCGAAGGGCCGGGATTAAATGTTCCAACTCCGTGATCTTCATCGGCGACGTCACGCGGTAGTCGTTCACCAGGGCGAATAGGTCGTCCTTGATGCGCTGGTGGCTGACGAAATTGCCCACATCCTCGATGTCGTCCGCGAGGTGGATGATGTTGCTGTTCAGGACGTAGTTGTAGTCCTCCTTGTTGGAGCGGGAGATTTTGAGGCTGGTGGGGGGTTTGAGGTTGTTATGCTCGGGATTCAACAAAAGGACAATGATCGGGGGGAGACGCTTAATCTGCACCTGATCCTTACACGCCTCTAACTGCTTTAAAAGATGCTGTAAACCTTCATCCACTTTCAGCGCGGAGGCAGGGACCTCCCAGAAAAACCGCGGCTCTACGTGAATACGGCCATTCACGGTGAATTCGGTACCAAAGAAGGAGGCGATGGAATTCTCATATTCGGGAGAAGGGGGCTGGTACTTCATAAAAGGATAGCCTTTCTGATCTTGCAAATCCTTGTGAAGCGTTTCTAAGATCAGTCGCTGCACTAAATGCATCTTGGCCACAGCGTCGTCTCGATTTTTGGCCTTTTGGAAGACATTCGAGGTGGCAAAGGTGCGGATCTGGCGAAGGGTGCGAATGAGATTGCCAACTTGGACGATGGGCGGTAGGGCGGCCTCCTTGAGCCCGCTGGCGCTGGAGGCGGTAATCATGATATTGGCGAATATAATCGCTATCTCGCACGTCATGCAAAACTCCCGTCGACAAAGGTGGCGTAGAATCACCCGTCGGATTGGAAACTCCGGCGGTTGGCAGAGATACAGCGATTGCAAAATCGGGGTCAACCAAGACTCCGGAAAGCTGTTGTCCATCCCCGCCACGTGATGGGGAATTTCATTATAGCTTCGCCAGTCCAATTTATGCTGCATGCTATAACACACCTGCAGGGAATCTTCCATCGGGTCGTACTCTCCAGTTCCCCCACCACGGGAAACTTTGTGCTTTCGCTTCATATCTTTTCGAAATTCCAGCAAAAGCTCCTGGACTCGTCCAGGATCATTGCCAAGTTGGGTGTTGAAGGGGTAAGGATTGGGAATAATTGCAGACAGCTTTTCTTTCGTGTCGATTAAATACGAATCCGCGCGGATAAACCCCCACTGATTAGGCACGATGGAGTGCGAGGCGTAGGGGCCGAGATTCACACACCGCAGCTTCTGTGGAACCTTCAAAATCATATAATCATCCTCCGGCCAGTTCGACGCGAGGCCAAGACTGGCGCAGGACTCATCAAAACCATTATCTCCGTTCGGCGAAACCCAACATTGTGTAAAACTTGGTTGTTTGGGCTTCACAGGCTGGATAAAGTTAGACATAATATACTCATCCCGTTTAGCGGGGTGGGAAAGTGCGAAGAAATGACCCTTGTCGTTCCCTACCACCGCGCACATTCGATTGCGCGAGACGGAAACCGCGGTGGAGGAGCCTTCGATGATGCCGCCCGAGCTATAAACGGGCTTCTCAAGATCCAGCTGGATGATGTGATAGCCCTGTGGGGTGAGTAAGAACGCGCGGGTTTGGGTTGGTCGAAAGGAGTCCAGATAAAGCCTCATCTGCGTGGTATTACCAGGAAAGATATCTTTAATCATATAGACCTCTTCCCCAAGTTTTCGCACATCAAACACCTTCACAAAACCCGTCCCGGAGCGCTCCACAAAAGCGGCGGCGATTGTATTTCCCATCACATCGAGCGTCATCACGCGATTTCGCGAAGGGGATACGCTTCCCACGCTGCTGAGATCATTCGCATCGAAAACATTAATCGTCCCGGACGTACTACCCGTCACCACCCACTGATCAAACTGTTTAAGGGCCACGATGGTGGGCTCCTCCACGGGCACCGTATGGCGTTTGGTTTCACCTTCCTGCAAGACCAACCGCGTGAGGCCGACATCCCCTACAAAGTACATCGAGCCCGTGTGGGTGTTGGCCTGAAAGAGATCGATGTAGTTTTGGGTGTCCGAAGGAAGGGGGAGGCACATAATGGGAACCCCGCCTCGTTTAAATCCGCGAATCACCTCACGGTCCGGGACCGTCACCATGCACTCGCCGGCGATTGGGATGAACCCAATGCTGGACGGGGATCGCGTGGAGGCCGAAAAGGAGGAATAGACCGCCCATTCCGTCGTCTCGTTGTGAGGCTGGACGGTAAAACTCATGAGATTACCAAAACTATCACACACCCACAGCAGCTCGAGTTCAGGATCGAATTCAACGGCCGTGATGGCGCCAACGGCGGCCGCTGCCCCACCTCGAAATACCCATGGAATATTCATTAAATCGTTTTTTTTTTTTGGGGGACACTCTAAGGGGTAGCCTTCGGAGAGTGGCACAGACTCTTGTTTAAGAAGTAGGTAGTCCGCCTTTCACGTTGGATATAAAAATGCACTTAGGGAACTAAAATAAGGTTATAGAGAAACGGGATGGAGTGAGGTGTAGTGTTCTGATCTTTTGCGGGTGTTCTTGAGCTTGATATATCTATTTATCACTCTATTTATATATGTATTAATAGATATACCTTTTTTATATTCCAAAAACTTATCTTCACCGCGTTCGTTTTCTTCCCGTTATAGGTCTAGAAGCCGTTAATAGAGGAAGGGTCAACAAAAACGCAGGCGAAAATCAGAAGTTGTCAGTTAAAGCCAGATGTAAGATGACCCATACGGTGCGGGTCCAACTAAAGTAAAAGACTTAATACTAGTTCTATCAGAAGAGTTATGATGTTTATTATCACGTTCTTGTTCGAACCTGCTTTGTTGAAGTGAGTTTTGCGTTTGTTCAGGAAATGGGAATCAGGGGGACAAAATAAAATTGAGTTAATCTAGGAGACAATTAACATGTTTGAAAACAGCTTTCATGAGAAGTAAAATAGCAGCCCAATACTAAAGATTAAAGTATGTTTAGTTTGAGGGAAAAACAACAGGAACGATAAGCACTTAGTGTCTTTAAATGACAGCACTCTTCCACACACAAAGGTAGCTTTATAGTCGCTACTATTTCTTGCGCATTATTTTTCGTGGTACCTGAGGGGCCACAATCTTTTTCTGAGTGTCTGATGATTGAAGATCTGAATTCACCGTTGTCGTCGTATTGACAACGGGGACCTGTACCGTAGATTGTGAGGCATTGCCCACAAATGATGCACTTTTAGAGCCATCAAAGAGACGCACCGGCTTCCGAGGATCTTTTTTGTGATGCCGGATCGAATGCAGATGCAATTCCTCATGGTTAATAAAGTTGCGGCCACAGTCCTTGCACTCCACATGCGTTTCGATCCCAAGGTCCACCAATGAGACTCCTTTGTGTTGTGCGGTGAAGTGATCATCTAGGCCATACAGATCGGCGAATATGCGTTTGCAAGCTGGGCACGGGTGGGACTGTGTGGGCATCTGGTGCTTTTGAACCATGTGGCCGTGTAGGGAGACCGCCCTGCTGAACCCGCGCTCACACGTGTCGCACCACCAGCGATTTTTGTCGGTTACGGGGGCTAGAACGGAGGTACCGTAACTAAGCGAGGGGTTCTCTTTGGGGATCCCATTTGGCCCCATATTCCGATGCTTAGTGGTCGAATGGCAGTCCAACGACTCCTGTGTGTTGAATGCGCGATAACAGATTTTGCAGATGAATAGCTTCTCATCCTTCTGCAAATTAATAAGTCGATCTACTTGAAAGGCAGCGTCCTCGGTGGGATGTTTTAGGCGAATATGCGCGAAGAGTGCGGAGGCGGTGTTGTAAACTTTGGAGTGAGTGCAAAAGTCACACTTGACGTAGACAGGTGAGGTTCCACCGGATGGATTATCTTTCATGTACTTGGCGATGATGGCGCTCGGATCTTCACTGGCTGGCGAATCAACGTCTTGATGCCGTCCCTCCAGATGATTCAACAAGTCCATTTCGCTCAAAAATACCTTACCACAGAGTTCACAGGGAAAGTGAGTGCCGGAGAAACTCCAATTTCCATAGTAGTTTGATATTTCCTCCGGCCCGACGCCGAGGCGTGGGTTCATGAAGCGTGGAATGTTCACGCCGACTTGTCGTGGTGCGGCCATCATAGGCAATTCCACCACCTCCGCCGTGGCGACAATGCCGGGGATGTGGCGCGTCGGGCGGATGTCATCGGCTTGCTGGTTCGACAGTGGTGCGGCGGCCTGCGGCGGAGTCGCCGCCGCGGCCGGCCGTTTGACATCCTTGGGAAGCGGAATATGCCGCTCGACCTCTTCTAAATCGAGCTCCGGGTGGTCCTTCAGGACGTGCCGAATGAAGGCGTCGCGGGTGGGGAAAGGGTCCTGCTTGCGCACGCACCAATTACACCCGTACGCCCCGTTCGCGTTGAGGGTGGGCTGGAAGGCGAGCCACGTCGTCTTGGGCGGTGACGGAGCCTCCGCGCGCGGCTTCAGGGGGGCGCCCAGGACCG